GCTGAAACAGTGAGAGCTCGTACATGGTGAAATCAAGCTGTTTACAGTGGCTTTTAAGTGATATCAGAAAAGGGATGAATGGGTCAGCAGACAACTTCAACCTCACTCTGGAAAGGTTTCCTCCTAACCTTGGACTATGGAAATAGCATAACCGATCGCCATATAGAGCATGTTATTGATCGAATTCCATTGTTGAATCGCAAACAGAATGTACCAATCGTTATCGTTGACAGGATAACACATCTGACCTGCGTTACAAATCGAGCCGAGTCCACAGACGAAGTTGGATGCGTTCTTGGATGTGGCATAATCCTATTCGACAGCAATCGGAAGAATAACTTAGTTTGCCTGGAAAGTTGTATATGTTTTTTTTTCTTTCTTTCTTTTCAAAATTTTGAGTGTTTTTTGAAGCCTACAATCAGAGTCATCCTATCTCCATCTGGGTATTCCTTAAGATAAAAGTCTAATTCGAGTTCATTCCATGTTTCAGGAGTAAGAGGTAGAGGATCACAGGATCTGACCATTCTTTTTTCGAGGACATTGGATGATGATGAAAGGCTTGTGTTTTGTGAAGCGGTTGACTGTTCCGCAAGCGAAGTTTGGGTATAGATGGGGTAAAGATGGCCCTGAGATGGAGATGGTCTTGCGCATGCTGAGTAGAATACTGAGATGATAATGATTGGAACAACCAACAGATGGTATGCTTTGAAGGTTTGAGTTGATGAAATATACATTTTGATAGGTTGGGAGAGAGTAACAGATCAATTGACAAGTGACTTATGAGCTCGGAAGTCACCCGGACTCTCCTCGAGTGCCATAAAATATTTGCCCCCTACTAAAGACGTGAAGTTGAATGATCAAGAAGTCTGAGTACATAGATCCGTCACTGCGCCACTTTCCTGGCGGGGTATAGGGGAAGCAATCAGGCTGTGTCTGAAATATGTACATTGGAATGTACGCTGGTTGAAGCCAACCTACACCATGGTGACCAAATATTCAGCCAAAAGCAACCAGAGACCCGTTGTCAGTCAGATGTGGACATAAATAGTGGAACATGACAAGAAAAGCACCGTGAATGGGATGTGTGGTCTTACAGGCTGCAGAGGGGGGGGGGGGCGAACTTAACGCAAGTCCCCCCTCCGAGGAGGCGCGAAGCGCCTCCGAAGGAGGGACTTGGACCAAATGTGCCACCTGTCGCCTGAGGGGTATCAGCCAAATGGCTAAAACACGATCGTCAGGCCGCCTAGACACACATTCTCACCCAATCATGCAATGCCAATAGTACCATTCAACTCAGTGTATTTTTTTAGCTCTGATCCCATTGCTGCAAGATTGCTCAGAAACATCCCCTCCCAAATATGAGTGTTTGTAAACACAAAAATTCCAACTATCCGGCTATCCGAAAGCCAGATACCTACCCGGATTGATCTGGTTCCAAATCCATAAACATCCATTCATGTTACTGTCAATGCAAGAGACACCATGTACTAAAGTGTGCATGTTGCCATACACATACACTCTTGTTGATCCGCTCCAAGATGATCTCGACAAGCAGATCAAAAGATAAGATGATCAGATGGCACACCTTTCAACTACAAACGGATCAAAGGATTAAGTAGTAAGAACTTATGTGCATCAATGCTTTTCTATAAATACTTGTTGTATTCACCAATGCTGTTTTCCTTTCCTCCTGATCCTGTCGATATTCTTTATTCTGAATACTCTTTAAAAATCACCACCCCAAAACAACAGACAGCTTTCTATAACATCTAATCAGAGCAATGGATCCCCAAAATGTTCCAATCCTCACCGAAGCAGAAAAAGTTATCCAAATCTGTGATGCCATTCACCACCTCCAAATGACCCCGAAAAAGTTTATCAATGCATTTCTCACTAATGCAGACCCCCAAATTGCCTATAAAAGGCGCTTCTGGGGGACTTCTACTGGCTGGAGTTCGACTCATGGAATAATTCAAGCAGTCAAGGCTGAGGTAGCCAGGACCCGAGATGGAGCCGATCGATGGGGTCAATTGATAGAAAATGAAGTAAATGATTCATAATTTCTTCTGCTTCGACTTTTGGCTCATAATTGACAGATGCCTTCTACACGCAGAGTGTCGAAATCTTGCTTTCTCAAAGCCCACCCAGAGGCAACTTCCCCCTTGGATCTTTCCACAGTAGCCGTACCGTCCAACCATCTTTCTTTGATCCGAAAGCCGTATCTGAGCGTGACGAAGCTCTCACCAAAAATCACATGCCATTTCTATTCAATCTAATCAAACGCATGTTGGTTCGTGTCGAGGCTCCCGATGAACTGGATGAAGATGGACCTGTGGAGCCAACCATTGCTGATCCCGAGCAGGACCACATACTCAACATGGACAACGTGACTTATGTTGCAGACAGGAACTCGGCATTTTCTATTCGAATCCACAAGGCATGTTTTTCTTTTGGTTTTGTGCAAGTAGAAGCAAATCACCAACAACCGGTTAGCTGATATGTAAAATCTGAAGGTTGCATCCACTATTTGCTCAATGGTCGCCTTCACTAGAAATCGTCGACACAACAGCATGCAGCTCTACAACAGCATACGCTTTGTTGCCGGAGGTTTATCAGACCAGTTAAACGATTATCTCCACCTTCTGGGTATCACCTCTTCCCGACAAACTGCAATCAGGGCTCTGACATTCTTGTCAACCTGTGCTGCACGAGACCTGAGGAACGCCATGACACCAATGGCAGGTGTGCCTGTAGGCCCAAGTATATGTATTGATAATCTTGATATGGAACAGCGAGTCCATGCCCATTCCATTGGCCATCGAACAATGATGTTCCATGGCTCCTGGGGCTATATCCACCATCCACATCCATCCCTTCTTGACTCTCTTGATCTCTCCGAACTGAGTTTGAAGTCCTATTATGAATCTCTCCAAAAAGTCTCATCCTTGATTATTCAGCCAAGCATGTTTCTTCCAACGGCCGATGAGGACCTACACTTTGAGGCAGTTTTGAAGAGCCAGATAGCTCGAGTGATGCGTCATTACATTGCGGAACCATCCACTAGGGATGGATCAATTCAAATTCATCCTCCATCGATTGATCCGATCGATTGCTCCCCTCCCAATATCAAGATGCTCAAGCTCATGGACGCATCGGACAACTCGGCTGAAGGCATCGGGCAAGTCATCGAATCAATTATTTCTCAATCTGGTCTCACGGCAGAAGAATTCTGCTCGCGCCTCCAAGTCATGGATGGCGACCTTGGAACAATCCAGAACTTCAACTCTCTCCGAGCCTTGCGTACCCCTAGTGCTCACCCTGAACATAATCTTCACAACATCAGCTTTCAGCTCGGTGCTTCCCACACATTATGGAATATTGCTCAAAACATCCTAACTGCTCATTTTGGTGATCCAACAAAGACAAACGACTTAGGTGCATGGCATGACTTACATGCTCTTGGTATTCCTTCAGATAAGGCTGTTCCAAAGAAAGACTTTGACCAGATGATCAATAATATGGAAAAAATACATGAGGCATCCATATTCCATTGTCTTTGGTGAGTCATTAATCACATAAACATCACGATTTCTTTACTAAATCAGAAATGCCTTTTTATCTTAGTGTTATAATGGGCACCACTCGAGATCAGGTCGCCAAAACACCAGGGAAGATTGAAACTCGCAAATGGAATCAAATCATCGAAGCTTGTTACGATCGATTTTTCTCCCCTGAAGCTCGTCGATCTACCTCAAAAGAAGCTTCACCCAAGCTCTTTGCCCTTTTACATCGATTGCACGACTTTTCGACAGTTATAGAGGCCAACCGTGCCATGAAAGCTGGTGATATTGGACGACTTGTGAACATCTGGAAGATTTGGTGCATCATGTCTCAGGCACTTACCGGTCTGGTCAACTATCGATCATACCTCCCTCGCATGTTGCTTCTGCTTCAACATATTCTCCCTCCGTCCCTTAGCCGATACATCCTCCACAACCTTCTGATCTCTCCGAGTGGCCGACCAAACCACTTTGTGGGAAAGGATTACTATCTTGAAATACAAAATTACCGCCTCAAATTTCTTCACAACCGAAATGGGATGGGAACTTCCATTGAACGATTAAAGGAAATGTTCTCGTTGAATATAGACTTAGTGAGTGCTTGCACGTGTTCTACTGCTTTGAATTTTGTCCTACATTGGCTTACACATTATGGGCACATTTATTTTAGCTTCGGTCAACATTCAACAGCCTCAAGCTGGAGAGAGGTGGAAAGTTGATTCATCAATCTCACAAAAACATCATCACCATACAATCCTTAGAACTATTCAGTCGCATGGCACGCAATTATGATATCATTGATGAATATCACCAAGACACCACTTCCAGCGTCCCAGACTGTCAAGACACACTCTTAGAAGGTATCAAAGTTCTTCAGAACGACATCAGGAAAGGTGGGGGAAAAATCAACCGATTCAAGCTTCATTTCTTGTGGACATCGACCGACGGCGAGATCAACGAGCATCTAGTACAAGAACATGCGACCAACTTGAACGAAACGGATGATGCAGAAAACAATGAAACCAATTCAAACAGCCCTTCGGTCCAGTTAGAAATCTGAATATCCCTGTCAATCACCTGCATCCAATCCTGCATCCGATACGGCCATAGGATTCGAGACATTTGCTCCTGCATCCGATACGGCCATAGGATTCGAGACATTTGCTTCCACTGTAGAGTCTACCACAGCTGCCCCTGCCTGATTTATCGATTCCGATTCCTTCACCGGTCCACCAAGGCGCTGGGCTTTCTTTTTTGCACGATAGCGAGCATCTGCTTCCCTCTTCCGTTGCTTCCTAGTCTCCTCTTTGTTCACCATGGATTCCGAACTCCTCAGAACGGTATCGGTTGCCTGCAGGACCACCATGTTTTCCGAATGATTCCTTGTTGTCCTGATTCCTTTTTTGTCGACCGTTATCTCTAAATCCCTATCAATTGTACTGCTAGGCGGTGATGGCATGTTTTCTGACTGTGAACAGACATGTGTTTTAGCTGCAAGCAACCTCATTCTTCTGTTTGCACGATAGCGAGCTGCTGCTTCCTTCTTCCTGGTCTTCTTTTTTTCCTCGTTTTCCTCTCGAAGTCGTTCTTGATTATCTAGATGTTCTTGATATAGATCGTTTTCTTTGAACCTCCCAATCAAATCATATAAGAATTCCAACTGTCCGCATATGACTTCACCACCGATCAGATGATAGAGGTCCGCCGCGCTCTGGATTTCATCCAGGTTTTCAAGTAGAGTGTCGGCATGTTCATCATGAAACAGAGAAGAGGCTGAAAACCTAGCTGAACAACCCATCTGAGCCTCATAAAACTGGTGGAAAGAGGTAATCATGTCGGCTTTGAATCTCGCCAAGATGACCTGGTCGTTCTCGGTCCCCAGTGCCGCATTTGCAGCCCGTCGAGTTCGGTTTTTCTTTAGCACTGCATCGTTGGAGTCAGGTGGGGGGAAGTCTAGTGTGTTGTCCATTGCACTTTCGAAGTTTTCCTTGGTGAGATATCGTAAGTTTTCAACCAGCTGCTGTCCAGACACCACCGCACAGTTGGAGCATTTACACGGTGGGAAGCCAGCGGTTCTCTCGTGCTCAACCTCTTTGACATAGTCCGGATCATCTTTAGATAGTGGGATGTAGCCCAGCTTGTTGTCCATTGCAAACGCAACCCGAAGACAGCAGCTGGTAATTGCAAGTGCATCCATGCGATCATCATCTGATTGATCGGTTGGATTACTGAAGTCCTCCTCAGAATTTTTTCCACCTTTTCAATTAGGTTCAACAAACAAAATCGCCAGCCCATCTCTACCGTCTCTCCCACATCTGAAAGCACAATTAAATAATGCAGTTAGTTTATGTATGTATAACAGAACCTATGATTTATTGACACACCTTCCTATCATTTGACTGACATTTGCTGGATCAGCCCGCCCCATGTGTATGACACATCTAACCCGCTTCCAGTTCTGGCCTAGGCCAAGTGCCATTGTAGCCGATATGATTGGGAATGACCCTTGAGAATACCCTTCAATGCAAGAAACCTTGTCCTTATCTCCTGTGCATGAATGAAACCTCCGAGCCAAAGTGTTATCTGGATTCAAGCATCCACCAGGGGTGCCACGTGCCATGTCCAGCACCTCCAAAACCGTTAGTGTCCGAGCGCGAGTTCCACTATAGATTAAGGTAGGTACGATATCCTGGTCCGAGGTTTTTTCCTTCAAGGGGAAGATATTCTTCAGGTCCAAGTTGGATTGTAACGATTCAGTCATGTTGATTCTCAGGATTCGGATCTCGGTCCGCGTCAACTCTCCTTCAATAATATCGATCAACTCTTTAGTCAACTTCAAGTTTTTCAAGATTGCATCAACAGCAACCGGGCGGCATGTTGCAGAAAGCATGAGGATCGGGGAATTGTTTCTACATTGCAAATGTGTAGCGAGTTGTCCATAATAAGGTCGAAAGATGCCAATGTCTTCAAGTCGTACAAAGATTGAAGCAGTTCTCCGTCCATCCCTCTCTACTAGTCCCCACAAATATATCATGTGAGCCTCGTCCACCACAACCAAGGCTAGTCGCTCCTGGAACTCGGAACTAAAGTATACAGAATCCCACATCTTGTTGTTCATGAAAATCTCTGGGCTAAGGTACACAAAGTTGAAGTCCCCCTTTTGGATTTTGTTCGCCACAGTCTTATTGAACGTAAGTTTGGTGAGGTTGATCGCTGAGAATTTTCCTTTTTTTTCTTCAACTTGATTGTCACCCAAAGCGTCAAGTGGGTTCAGCACTATTACCACAGGTTTTCGTTCTTGAGGTAAGAGTTTATGGTAGATTTCTGGGATCCTCGACTTCCCGTAACCTGTACCGGCCAGAAGAAAAGTGTTTCTTCCCCGTACCAGGTTTGCTACAGCCTGGATTTGAAGGGTCTTTGCCTCTTGTCCATCGTAGAACTCGGCCGCTTTGGTCGCAATTTCTATCTTCAATGAATCGTCATTCGCCCGCAGTAATTTCTTGGTAACTGTTACACTGCCGCCAGATGTTTGTCGAGTTTTCTTGATCTTCGGATCGGTCTTTGGTGGGCTCTTCCGACCGCTTTTTCGAGGACTTTGAGTTCGATTTGTTTTGGAGACAGCCATTTTCACAGGATCGATGAGTCCAATTCTCTTCCAGCTTGCTCTCCAAGCCAAACGACTGTGAAGCTGGAGGAACTCAATGTCTTGATCCGGAATCCCTAAGTCAATAGGATAGAGAACTGTGAGAATGTTTGCAAGAACCGTGAGATGCTGCCCGATCCGTTACTCGGATTATCTGATAGCCGCCTGAAGCTTACATTGCAAAGACCTATGAAAGCTGTTGCAAGAAGCAAGGTGCAGAGGCCATCTTTGGAGCTATTGTTACATGCTTTGGGGAAGGGTTTGCCCACATACAAGGCTACATTTCTACCGACTCAGAATCTTCATATACCTTGTGCTGTATTTTTTAAAAAATATCTAGTGAAAAAAAAACCATTTTTTGACTGGAAAACTCAAACTCCTCGCGCCTCGAGGGTGACATGTGAGGTAAGCCTCTCCTTCGGAGACGCTTCGCGTCTCCTCCGGAGAGGCTTAGTTAAGCTCGGGGGGGGGGGCGGGGGCTGCCTGGCTGCAGCCGGGCCGCCGGCAGAATGTCCGCCAACAGGCTTATGTAAACGACCCCCGCGGTAAAAGCCCGCCCCCCCCCCCGGGGAAAAGAAAGACTCACAGCCAACCAGCGGCACTGCAAATTGCAAGCCCAACAAACTTAAAACAACATCCAACCTCAACCCTTCAACTCCTCAACCATCGCCAATCGATTATGTCTTCACCCGATTCATCCCCATCATCTGCCTCATCGGACTCGTCTTCATCCATAGCCTTTGATCCCAACACACTCACCCAACAACCCACACAAGCTAACCTACCAGCAGCAACAAACCCAGAGCTGCTTCTCAACAACCCCTTGCCATCATCCTTAAATCCGACGATCGAATCCAACTCTCAATCGACTGCTTTCACTCTATCTGGATTCACAAACAACAACCTACAACATTCTCAGAACACTGACCTCACCTCGCTGGCCAACACTCAATCAACTACAAATAATCCCTCCCAACCGATCTCTAAAACTTCTCATCCAACTGCCCCTTCAAGAGGATGGATGAGTCAGAGGAAGGGGAAAGCTATTCATATCGATGACGATCATCCGTCCCTCAGAACCGAGCTGAATGGTGAATTCGAATCAGACCAATCGGAGCAAACCATCACTAGTACTAGTTCGCAAAGAATCGTCGAACTCGGAATCGTAGAAGAGGTATGTCAACCTGGTTCTTTTTCTCGTTCGTATATACCTTTTTGGAATGAACTCTAAAACTGATCGGTTTCCATATCACACAGCAATTGTCACAATTGCTTAATTTGGCTTCTGATGCCTTGGGCTCACTTGGGCCTTCATTGGATCAGAATGAGTCGACTAACACGGCCACCGAAACGTTTTCAAGTTCGATTCACCAATACTTCGAGCTCCTCAACGTTAGCAATATTCATTTCCGCTATCCTTGCCGTAAATGCACATGTATTCCAACAGACTGACACTGTTCGGAATTTTCTTTACTACACACCAAACTAAACACATATGCAGAAAATTCAATTAGGTCTACGCACATCGATGTCTCATTTACGAGTCTCGCGAGTATCCACTCGAATCCTGTTTGAGCCCGCGCATGTCTCGATCCCTAACTGTCCAGTAGGTTTAGGCGATCTCAAGCTGATGGCCAATCCTACTTTCAATCAAAACACCTTAAACCATCCATTTACCAAAGAAGGCCAAGAGGCAGGATCATCCGCTTTGAGCTTGGGCTCATTGGTTGCTGAAAGGAACGCGTGGCAGGACTTGGTCGAGTCGCTCGAATTCATCAAGGCTCAGCGAACTCGACTTTGAAAACACCCTCATCACTTGATCCTCTTCATCTTGGCCTATTCATAGTCTCATTTCGTCGCATCACCTGTGAAGATCACATGTCTTCCTGTTGTTGATATTGTACAAATCAAAAAAAAGTGCAATTGAATTGAACTTGAAGACAAATAAAACTTATAATCACTTGGTTTTTGACCAGGCTGCAATACACACCACAATAAGCTGCATTTCAATCTTATTTGTACAGCTAATTTGGAAAAGCTTGTCCTTCCGAGTATTTTTTTTTTTTGCAATTTTTTTCTTTTTGCTTATTTGTATGTACATAGAATTTGAAATATGGAATTACATTTCAAATATTCCAATGCCGACCGAGCCAGATTTCTCATATGCCTGGCCGGTGGAAGTGCGGCCAGGCATCAACCATCCACCCACCCATCCAGCACCCATTGTCCAATCATCTGGTTGCGGAATCATGGTTTTTGTGCAGTAAGTCAATTTTAATCAAGGCTTCTGTTTTTGATGTTCTTCATCTTTGCTAATGCCATCCATCAGATACGACTCTCAAATTAAAGCACTGGTAGTTCGATGGTTACTTGCACATCACACTTCATCAGAAATCAACAATGAATTGGATTTCACCATCCATTGCAAAACGTTGAAGCGATGGTTATTGCTTTACATCCGCACTTGGAACGTTGTCAGAGACCCTTCAACCTACCAGGATTGTGGGCGGCCATTGGCAATCAACGAGGAGGAGCGCCAGTTCATCCTTGATGTCCTTGAGCACCAGCCATCCTTGTGCCTGGATGAAATTCAAGTGCACATTGAGGCTATGACTGGTGTGCTTCACCTGTTAACCACAATATATGACAACCTCCAACTTCGATTGCTACTCACTAGGAAAGTTGCCCGAACGGTTCACCCAGCCCGATCTGCAATCCAACGAGCTAACTACATCTGTCGTATTGCACAAATCCCCTTGGATTTCCTGGTCTTCATTGGTGAGTCTGTCTTGCTTTCTTGCTCTTGACAGACTTGGAAGGAAATATCTGACTGACCTAACCCCGCTTGGTTTGAGCAGACGAGGCAGGGGTATCATCGTCGTACTCATGCCTGGGCTCGTAAGGGACGTTGCACACGCCAAATTGCACGCCGCCATGATGCTTGTCGTATCAACGTTCTGCCAGCCGTCTTGCTGGATGGATTAATTTGCTCTATAGCCCAACCCGGGTCAATCACCCGCTTAGATCTTGAGTACTTCCTTGAGGAAGTTTTGGTGAGTAAATTGTTTCTTCCATGCCTTCCTCTGGTGACATAGCTGACTGGCCTCGCTGTAGATCCCTTGTATGAGTCCTTATCCTGGCCGTAACAGCGTTTTGGTGTTGGATAACGCTTGGATTCACCACCGAGGGAGGATCCAAGAGATTTGCGAAGCAAATCACATTCTACTCATCTATCTTCCACCATACTCACCAGAATTTAATCCCATTGAGAAGGTTTTCTCTGTGCTAAAGAGTCGGCTCAAGAGGGCTCAGATCCTCAACGGGAATTGGGGTGATGCTGAAATTATCAAGGCTTTCCTTCCTACTTTTGTAACCCCCACTTTGATGCGATCATTGTTCTACAGTAGTGGATATGGCTAGTTTGTTCCAATCATTTGAACTCATCTTCAGTCGTTTTACCTTATTGTTTGTTTATTTTTTATTATTTCTTTGATGTCAGTCTTTCCCATTTGGTATTCTCTTATTTCTTACTGATTTATTCTTATGATTTATTCTTATGATTTTTGTTGATTGTTTCTTCTGAAGTTGACTACATTCTTTTGGAATTCAAATCCTTGTTCAAACATAACATCTACATCAAACTGTGACCAAATGAGTCTATCAATGGTTGTGGAGATCTATTGATCAAGGACCAATTGATCACCCAGGAGAATGAATGTTCAAGACCCATTCAGAATTAAGGATATGCAACCAATCATGTTTCCTTTTCAGATTTAGATGTATCTTCATCAAAGTTGACTCATTTTCATTGCTGTCAACAATCTGTGACCAAAGCACTGAACAATGTTATGTCAATCAATCACGGCATGTATATTATCAAGTTGTCATTTCCATTATCAAGCCAAAAACAGTCGGGAATCAGGCACATAATTGTCAGAAAAGGAGAAATCAGGCAAACAAGCATGTGAAAAGAGATCGATTGGTCTAAGTTCAAAGAGATCGATAGGTCTAAGTTCAAGAAATGAGAAGAAGTAAGGAAAAAAGCCCCATTGAAGAAACAAGAAAAAAAATTGAGCCGGGCTGACTCAATGAGAAAAAAAACTTGTCTTTGATGGGGTAAGTTTAATATAGTACAAACGAAAAGAAATAACAAGAAAAATCTAACAATTACACAATTTCAGACTTCTGGGGAGCCAAACCCTTGTTGAACAAGAGTATGCTCCAACTCTCTGGCCCCGTTGCTGAGATGAGTGGCCAACCCGCGTGTGAATCCAATTCACATGAGATGCTCGTCAGACTTCCCTTGAAAGAACGACCAATGCTTGACGTCATGGCCTTTGAATAACGTCTGGCACATGGCGTCATCGATATCGATGTTGCAATGAACAAGGAAATCATTAAGACAACTGCTTGCCAGCAGGGAGGAGGGGCCCCAAATGATGGGATCACATCTTCCGAGTTGGGGAAGGCGATGGTCCCATTCGATCAACAGACATGCGGCTGAACGCCCGAATGGGGTCACTGGATGGGCTTGGACCATTTTTTGTTGATGAATGTTCAGATCGTGAGGTGTCGAGGATGTCGAATTTGTTACATAATTGCCTGAACTGCTGGTTTCTTCGGAGAAATCATTATCAATCACATATTCTATTGAAGCACTTGACTTGCCCGATGCGATTTCGATATCGTCGGGCATTTCCATTACAATCGAGGACTCTTTGGGTTCCAAAGGAGGGTACAAGCTCTCGGGCGCCTGGAGTATTGGACGAACTCGATCCTGAGGCCACCAATTCCTGCAGTCCTGCAGTCCTGGGGACTTGCCAGACCAGCTTGGGCCTAGTGAGGTCATCCCAGACCTTAGTTCAGATGGCCTGCTGGCCTTGGAGGGACCGGAATCACAAGGTGCGGCACAATGCTTCAAATGGGTGATTCCGGGTCGCTTCTCCCATTTGCAAGTAGACCAAATGGGGGGAGTGTTGAGGTCGACAGCGCGGTTAGCCTCCGTAACATTCCCAGTGGATTTTGCAAGAAGTACATGCGCCCAGGCCCACAATCAATCGTGGGTGACCCGAAGTACGAGATTAAGAATCTCCTTGTGGGGCCAAAAAATGACCTCAGAAGGCCGTGAATTCGACTCCTTCTCCAGATGTTGACGCAACTGGATCACAAATGGAGCAACAGGGTCACCAAGCACATCGGATTGACTCTATAAACATACAAAAACAATGTCAGAAAGAAAAACAAGATGCAAGATGACGACTGAGAGATCATAAACTCACTTTCTGCTGTTGTCGAGCTTCCTCTCGTTGCAGTGGGAGGCGGTCTGTATCAGATCCAACCGCAATAGCAAGGATCTTCTCGGCCTTCTTTCCTAGTGGGGGAATGGAACAACTGGGTCAACTTTTGTAAGCAATAAATACACTCATGAATAACATACCTGCTTGGCCGACTTCTCCTTGGCAGAGTCCAATTTCTCCTGGGCTGTCGGGTTGTCCATTTTGACTCGTATGAAAACCTTCTGCAAAGGCTTACAAGCGACCTCGTCAGCAAAAACTTGCAGTTGTTCATCCGATGAACAGTAATATTTGCGCTTGAAGGGGAAGGTGTGGCTACCGGAGATGTATAAATGCCATATTAAACATGCCTTGACTTGCTGGAGGTAGGCACTGAGATTCTTCTTGTCTGGACCAATGATGTCCAGAACCTGTTCTTGAAGGTCTTCCCACTTTCGAGTCAGCAGATTGGTCTTCAAGTGCGGTAGCGCATACTTATTCGACGTAATCTTGCTCCATTTGTTCTTGCAGTTTGAGGCCGCACGTTGCTTCTTGGGTATTTGAGGGTTGTAGTTATTGATGTAAAAGCAGTACTCCAAAGAGATGAGGAGCAAGCCATTGTTGATGGAGGCATTTGTTGCTGCAGCCTTCTTTGATCACTTCCCCGGAGCGCGTCGCACAACGGTCTGAGTAATCGCAGTTGCTTCGTCCGGGTCTGGAGTATCTACGGCCTGAGATCGAGTTTCAGGAGTCTCTTCAAAGAATAACCCCTTGTATGGGGTTTGTTGTGTCGGTCCCAGAGTTGACTCTTGAGTTTCAGGAGGCTCCTGGAGATAATCGGATCCGACCAAATCCATTTTGTTGAAGATTTGATGAACAGCGGTTTTTGAGATTGGATGATCGGATGAGTGGACGACGGGTGCTGGATGGGTGGGTGGATGGTCGATGCCTGGCCGCACTTCCACCGGCCAGGCATATGAGAAATCCGGCTTGGTCGGCATTGGAATATTTGAAATGTAATTCCATATTTCAAATTCTATGTACATACAAATAAGCGAAAAAAAAGACTCGGAAGGACAAGCTTTTCCGAATTAGCTGTATTAATTTATGTATGTATTATTGTTCCATTCTTACTATACTGCATCATGGATGTATCACAATTTGTAGCAGATATTGCAACATGGTGCCTGCAATATATGATGTAAATAAATAGGTTGGGTTGATCTACAATATCAAAAAGCTGCTCAAAAAAAAGTACAATCTGTAGAGTGTTGATATGATATTCTGTAACAAAGAAAAAGTAACTGGATGAGTAATGATTCCAACTTCTTTTTTCATGTTGTTTCATTCTTGCAAACAGAGAGTGAAGAAGATCAGAAGGGCAGACAACCAGCAGAAGTGGCACTACTTGCTTCAAAGAATTCTTCTACACCTTGGATTATGAGAGGGTAATACACACCTTCAAGGAGCTTGGGGGTGGTGGGTTCAACCACTTTGGCAACCTGTAGTGCTTTCTGAATTTTTTCTTTGTGTTGATTTTGATGTGGTCAATTTTAGGCTAGCATTTAGCACTCAACACGATTTACAAGCAAGGTGAGACTGTATGAATCCAATCATGAACCCTGCTAGTTTTCAAACTTATCAAAAGCCCGCGCCCCTGCTGCGGCGTGGGGCACTGTAGCCGCTCGTCGAGTGTGCAAGCACTGAGGACTCTCCCCCAGGGAGAGGACTTATGCCCGAGGGGAGCATGATGCCATGAGGCTATGATCTATTTGTTGTGGTGAAGGTTCTCATTTCACCATAGCACCGCAAGTTTCAACCTAGTTTCTTTGTCCTTATAAACAATGAAGCTTATAGATATTCTTGTTAATCCTGTCTACTCAAAATTTGGACCTCTTGTCCCCATCATTCCCGCTTAAGCTTCCCAAATGTTGGGTATTGCAATTTTAATTTTGCCGCTTATCGGCATAAACCTTTTTTTTCCTTTTGCTCTTTTTGTCATAACCCTCCTCTTTTTTTGACCTTTTGGACCTCTGGCATAACACTCGCTTATGTATGTATCATGTGAACACTTTTTTTTGGTTGTATTGTTCTTCAAATCTTGGCTACATATGCATCCTAGAACATCCAATCACAATTCATTCAATTTCATGAAGTATCAGTACAACACGGGCCGCGTCAGGCGGCAATTGGACCCCATGTTTGGCATCAGTTTGTCTCGATATGACCCCGCCGGGGTCGACTCCACAGCAGAGGTCCAAAGGGAGACCCGTCTGACTGAAGCGGGCGTGGACGGTCAATCTGTGCTGGTTAGGTAACCGCCAACACACCTCCGGTCAAGATGCAGGCGTTGATGACGGTTAGGGGGGTTAACGGTCAAAATCGACCGGCCAAAAACGGTCCGGCAAAGGGATTTGGGACCGCGGTTTCTCTCCCATGTCAGGAGGGTCCAACGGTAAACCTGGTTGACCGTTGGGAGATATAGCGGAAATGTGGCCGAACAAGTCATGACCGGACAAATGACCGCCTGTTGGGGCGGGAATGCCGACGTCGGGTCGCACTACGGCTGAAAACAAAAAAAAAGGTTTTGGGGTCGGTGGGGGGAAGGCTGTCGGGGGGCCGGGGCCCCCTAACAGCCTATGGGCACAAGCGGCCGGGGTTTTTTTTTTTACTTATTTTTTTATTTTCAGCATGGACAGACTGCAATGACTACATACAAGCTTTTTTTTCAAGATTTAGGATTTTCAATTTTTTTGGGGGTTGAATTTTATGAGTTTTGCACAGCACAGTCAGATAAGAACTATGGAAGCGGGCAATGGTAATCAGGATGCTAATGTTAATCTTCAAGGCTGGGGGTTAAGGCTGGAGACAGAGCTAACAAGACGCTCTTTGGATGGGGTAATACACCGATGAAAACCATGACAATATGAAAATGGCCAATGAGTTGAGTTGGCCTAGCGAATGCGTAGGGATGATTCAACATCATCATCAGTCGGGAGGCGCACAGTTTCGGGTGGGAGGTCCTTGAAGGGTAATGACCCAAAGAGCTCCCGGTCTTTGATCAGTACAAGTTCGCTAAACCTGTGGCGGCCAGCAGAATGGGTCAGCAAAATGATGAGGAGGAAATGGTGGGAACGGTCTTACGTGCGTTGATAAGCAATGCTCTGCCTGGAGACATGCTCCAGGCGACTATCGATGATTTCCCAAATCGTCATCGAATTGAACGGCTGGCGACTGACCAAGTTCTCCGCCATAGCCAGCCTCAAGAATGCGATTCGGATCTTAGTGGTGCCATCGTAAGCCTGGCGAATGGCTGCGACGGGTTGAGGACGCCCACGGGAGGCCATTCCCCTGTCGATCTGAAAGGTGATCAAGTCAGCGCGGCATACTGCAAAGGCTGAAGTGAGCAGATTGACGACTTACTATGACTATAAGGTCCATGAGAGGAGGCACTGAGCCTTCAATCGAGCGTCGGCCATATGCCTTGATGTTGGTCAACAGCTGACAAGAGATCTGTTAGCCAACCAGACGACATGGTATGTCAGCGCAGACTCACCAAATTGCGGAGTTGGCCTCGTTCGTGCTTCAAAAGAACACGCATGAATCTCATCACGGTGAGCTGTGCCAATTGGTCTTCAGGATATCCGGCTGGGAGGAAATCGGCCCAAAATGCAGGCTCTTGGGCATCGACGTTGTGGTCATTATTCCTGTGTATGAAGGGAGAAAATTCAAAATTTTATTATTTATCAATGAAGGACTCAAGATATGGACAAATGGACATCAGAAATGGAATCTACGGCCAATTTAACCCCTAGTCACTCACTGGAACCATCCTCATATCTCTACTGGATCAGAAGTTACGCAGAATCAAGGATGTCACACGGAGAATCACAGGATCAGAGCCACTCAGCTGGAGGGTATATTGCATGGGGGTATATTGCATATTGCATATGGAATTCCTTTTATCCATATTGAATTCCTTTTATACTTACAGAACCACAAGTTGGCCACCAGTTGTACCAGTTAAATTCCCATTTATTCAGCCACAGAACACATGAATTCCTTTCTTACAGCTTACATATAAAAGGAATGCGTTGTAGATAGTCTAGCCAAAATCCCTCAGGATTTTCAAGGATAGGGAAGCTAAAATGCCTCATACAGGGGTCCCTTGGGGCTAAAATCCCTCATAATTTACTATATAAGGAGGCCTCTGCCTGCCAGTTGTTTCCCTCCTCATCCCACTCAGTACACATTTTTGGTGGGACACCTGTCACAGATTACATATATTTATTACACAAGAAGTTCACGAGTAGTACAGTTCACAGATTGAAATATATACACAGTTCATTTCACAAACATTACACAGAAGAGCCAGTCCTTTGTTCCAGTCCTGGTTGAAGCATAGTGCTCCCAGACCCTTTGGGTTCAAGAACCACCTCTATTACATTATACATATACAGCATCAAGGAAGAGCACGAGTATCAAGACATCAAGACAAGAAACAAAATCAACAACTCAATCAATTCTTTGGACAACAATTATACAACCATCTTTGAACATAATCCATTATCACCAACCAAACTGCCAAGCTTACCTTGATGGTCTTGTTTTCTGATAATATAGAAAGGCAGAGTTTGCAGCTCATTTCATCCCTTTCTCCATTCAGCAAAAAGGATCTTACAATCACTTTTTGAGTCTTACAACGTGGGCCTGATGAGTGGAAAACATGTCATCAGTACGGAGAAGAGAAGAGGAACACAAGTGACTTACTCTCAAGATGAGCAAAGGAGTGCGTTCTATTGCGCGGCCTTGGGAGTTGATGTTTTGAGTGTAAGCGTCAACATTGTGGGTGGTGAGGATTTGTCGGATCCGATCGCGGAGGAAACCCTGATGGAAATGTTTGAATGAGAGGGAGTTGGATAAGCAACAGGCAATTGGACAAGTTCGGCGAAGCATGGGCCGACTTACTCGGATGTGGTTCCCAAATGTGAAGTTTGCCGCGGCCAAATCGATCGGGGCAATCAAACCGGCGGTGGGGGTAGCCTGAAGTCTGCGGAGCGTTTCGAGGTAGATGACGGTGGTGAAGTGGCCGGTAGCAATGCCTTCTGACTACAGATAATTAAGACCAAAATCAGCAGGTGTGAAATCCTAAATGTGGCTGGGAGATGGGTCACTTACAGCAAAGATCCGACGGGCAAAGTCCATTGTATTTTCTCGCGAGAATACAGTATCCTGCAAGATCCTAAGGAACTCCAGAGGATCGTCTGGAAGTTCTGACAACTCGGAATCAGATTCCGGATCGATATCTCGTCGGTGGTCAGCCTGGTGACTGGCATCTGGCGGGTTAGCGCCCAGCTGAGTGCCAAAATCGTCATCGTCACGCATGTCGAGGTCAGTGGGTTCAGGGGTGGCCTCGCCACGCAACATGGGGTCAAGAGTCTCTGCAACAAATGAGTGATTTAGGTGTACATATTTAGAAGACTAACTCTAAGTGGCAATCACTCACCAATGTTCATGTTCAGTTGGGGGAGGCAATCTGCGAGGTTGACACAGAGGCGCAACCGGTCGTGGGGACGGTTGCTAGGGGTAGGAGGAGTGGCGAGGCTGTTGAATGGGTCGTCAGAAAGCGGGGGCAAGGCAGCAGCAGACAAATGAAGTGATCAGTCATTTATTGAGAAGGGATGGGAGGCAACAGGGGAGGATAATCATCAGCCCAATGAAAAGCAGTGTTGCATGAGGGGGGAAATGGCTCGCCTGAAACAATGGAGCGCGGTTGGAATGGCGATTGAACTGGAGATTGAGGGAATTGGGGCAGTGCAAAGGGGGGGGGGGGGAAGATGAAGAGGAGATAAATTGGAGCACACCGCCCCTTATGAACAGTGGGACAGCTGGCTGTTGCAGAGCGGTGAATGGGAAAGGGCTCACCGTGATTGAAAAATCCCTCCCAGAGTCGATGTGGAAGATAAAAAGGGCTCGTCTGTGGTGTGGTCCCCCAAATCATCATCCTCACCGTCTGCAACTCGCCCGGTGTGGTCTCTTATCAATTAACCGCAAACATCGGATTAGCTTATTTCTCATCTCAGAAGCGTCTGGAAGGGCCGATATGGATGCAAACAATCCACCTTGTGAGTTCAAAGGTCCCGTTGCCCCCCCCCCCCCCAAAAAAAAGTAGCTGAAAAATGACTCACCTTGCCGGCCGGCTTCAGATTTTAAGGTGGGCCGAGATGCATTTGGGAAGAAGCATTTCTCCTGCATGCTGTGTGGAGGGAAAACAATGTTAGATTACCGACCCCATACAATGTTGTCAAAACATCAGCAAATGGTCAGAGATTATGAGGTAACAACCAGACGCACCTTGGAACCAGCTTCAAATCCTGGGCAGCCTCGAGAGGATGAAGTGAATTTGTGGACGAGTGTTGCCAATGAGCTGGCCTTTGAGTCAGGCACTCTGCATGCGGATCCCAGGTCTGATGAGGATTCGGATGCTTCAGACTTGCTGATTGTAGCACGCAACACGTCATTGACCCTCTTCAATCCTGCCGACGACGAGTCTTCAGATTCCGAGCATGAGATGGATTGGGATGATGTCCTGTTTGAAACCGTTCATCAGCTTGGGCCGGGCAATCTTGCTGATCCTGCCGATCGAAATGCCAGAAGGATCGCCGAAAGCTGGTATCCTTTCAGGTCGCAGGGGGTAAGCCAGCCTGTTGACACCCTGGAATTTACAAATCAGCCACTTCTTCACACAAATGGGATCCAAGGAGAAAAACTTACGTTGTGTTTGCTCCAATCCAGGACGTTTTGGGCGCTTTGATTCATGGATATATGCGCCATGTGATGTCTCGAGCGGAGTATGCACAACTCCGACTGATCTTGTCCCTTGCAGAACTGGAGCTTCCCCACTGGAATACTTTGCGCAGTGGGAGGTTACGCATCCGCAACTTATTAAGAATGGAGATCACCCACAGTGAAAGCATTCTCCACAACCAATGTTATTCTCTGAACATTAAGCAATTATTGGCAAATGTCAGATTATTTCTGTACTAAAATACCCATTTCTCCACCTGACAGCTAACATAAACATGGTCTGGTGGTTTTTAGGACTTGGCCAATCCGTATGTCAATCCAAATTTGGAGTTTTATCCACACTTTACTGGTGGGAAGAATGTGTTCAAAATGTCACAAAGTGCCAAGTGGCGTGAAGACCTCAGTCCAACTCTCAGAGTGCCCATGGCAGAAGCAAACCACAAGCACTGGTACATTTTTGAACCTGTTCAACTGCACAGCCGACATGTGGTGGTGCCAATCTTTTTCTTCATGGAGAACAACAAAATCTTGGCTCGATGTGTGAAAGCAGACATATCCCAACAAGGACCAAAGAAAATCAAGATCACTATTCCATCTAATCTGGATTTCAATTCCAGCAAGTTGAGGAATGTCCATCTCCAAGATTTTGCATTGACTTACGACGAGATACATATTGGGTCTTCTGGAAAGCTTGCTGAAGCATGCAGCAATGAACTCTATGGTATGTGTTTGTCCATGAATTTACACCACAGTGGACACTGACTTGACTGAAATGCGTAGAATATGGTCAAAAAGAAAAGGCCCACACACTTCCCAATCCGTGGCGGATCAAGGCCTCAAGGGATGATTATTAGACACATGCCAATCAATTTATATGCCAACGACACATCGGGGAATGTTTCCAAGAGATACAACAAACACATTTCATTCTACTTTACTCTGTCAGGATTGCCACCAAAATACTCCAACATGGAGTACAATTGTCATTTCCTATCTACATCAAACACTGCAGGTACTTTGGAGATAGCCAATCAGATAGTGGATCAGATGAAGTAAGCCTCCTATAATATCCCTGAGGGAAACATTCATTCAAACACCCACCCCCAAATGAGAGGCTGACATTGTGTACTACGCATGATTTAGCCACTGATGGGGTTATGCAT